TATAAACATGGATTGTATAATAGTAAGTGTATGTTATCCGATAAAATGGGCAAGAGTCTTCTTTTTCACTTACTGAAGGTTCTTAGTCCTTATTATGCCTCTTACAAGATAAAATTCACGAGTCTGTCATGCTCACCGGTAAAATACTTGACCAGGGGTGGAGCCGCCTTCGAGCCAAAAGTGACATTGGGTCCCCCTCAAACTTCAAAAATAAAATTTTATATAGTCCCAAGCGTTAATTACCATTTTGAAACTTTATTTATTCATATCAAATTCTTATTTTTCTTCTTTTGTAAATGTCAAGTTTTTTAAAAATTCTAAAATAAACACGTTACTTTATTGAATATACAAATTTTTCTACGATAAATTTCGTTTATTTCCGAGGGCTTTTTTTATTTATATGTTTATCTACACACATTTTGTATTTATATATATAAATATATAAATAAATATATTGTTTACGTCAATCATGTTTTTCAACTCTTTTGTACAACTATTTTTAATTAAATAATATTTTTAATACAATTATTTAATTAAAATTATATACTTCAAAGGGTTTGATCTTAAACTTGAAATTTCCTCTAGATAAATTTTTTGGTTTCATCCCTGTTAGAGCATCTACAATGGAGGTTTGTTCTTGAGGTTTTTACAAGAACCTCCACCATAGAACAAAGGTTCTTATCCAGTCACATGTTCTTATTAAAACTCAGATGCTTGAACAAGAATCTGAATTCTTGTATATATTCATTTTTTGTTATTATTTATATGTTTTATTTTCTTTCAATAAATATATAAAACATACAAATTAAAATTTATATAAAAAAATAGAGATTAATTACTATGAAATAATTTTTTTAATTTTTTGTTTCTTGTAAATTTTGACACAAGTTTTTGTATTAATAAGTTAATTTTTTTTTAATTATCTCATTATATTATTATGTTAAATTGTTTTCCCTGGAACAATATGGAAAAAAAAGTTGTTCGAAACAACGACAAAAGGATGCAAGAAAGGATGTTGAGTGTACATTTGAAGTGCTAAAAGTTCGTTGGACCATAATTAAATGGCCATCACGATCATGGTACATTTGAAGTGCTAAAAGTTCGTTTGACAAAAACTCTTAAAAACAATTTTTATGCACGAAGTATTGTTTATTGATACATATTACTTAAAATTTAAGATTACAAGTAAATTATGCATAAGTACAACTTATTAAAGCTACATACTTGAATTCGTCTAACTAACTCCAGATAAACATAATCAAATATTGGATCAATATCTCATTTTAAATATAAAAAATCTAAATTATAATTATGATAATCATTGATAACTATTAGAATTTAATTAAAAAAATTACACCAAAACACTAGAACTTTTAAAAAGATTAATTTAATATTGATATCGATGTTTTTTTTCAAAATTTTATAATATTTTTAAATTTATATTTTATTCAAAAATAAAAATATTA